TCTGTAATCTGTAATAGAATACATTTTAAAAGTAACCTTCCCAACACTGGTAATGCGTGAAAAAGCACTTGAGTAAATCAGTTTTTTCTTATCGCTGCTAGCAGTGAAAGTGAACAAACACAGCAAAAAAGACGTTAGTTTCAATGTATTTTATTCTTTACTGTAGAAACACTGTACATAAATTACTTTCTCTGAGACTAATATTGATGTACGTATAAGTGGAATTCATCAACCTCCGAAATAAAGAAAAAGATAAACCATAAAACATTGTCAACTCGTCATAACTGTCGTTGAAAAAAAAGATCGTAGCATATGAGGTTAACTCTCTGTGGAAAGTTCCTGCTCTTCCAAATGACTAAAGTTACTTTTCAAACACACATACGCACAATGGAAACTCTAAAGGAGCACAGAGACCCACAATCAATGAGTAAACATCCACATTGATCTTTGATCTATTACTGTTACTCGTTAATGTCACTGATGGCAATGCACTGTCCCTTTAAAGATAAACAAGCAAAAATAAAGGAGAAGCAACGATTTGTTACTACTCACAGCAATCCTGTCCCCCACCCCCCCCACCCAAAGCCATGATAACATGTTTCTATTGCAAGCAATACTACTACCTGTGACTGAGAAAAGCACAAGTCTATTTGTTATAGGCCGAGTCACATTTTGTCAAAGTGAGTAAGACCTGGGCAGCCAGGGGACCAATGTACATCCACTCAAACACAGCGGTGGCCCTACAGCCGCCCTGCTTCTTCACGTCAGTTTGACTGTGGTCTCTCTAAATCTGTAGAACCTGTTAGAGCGCAGAATGGGAAGAAGTGGCTTTTAAGTAAAAACACAAATCAAAGTTTGTCTTCGTTCAGGTCATAAATGGTCCATTCCAGTGGTGACGGTGCAGTAAAAGTAGTAATAGTGGTATAAGTAATACTATGTAAAAATGTTTTTGTTAATTTTCATATACCCTTTTTGTCTGAAGCAACAGCAAGTTTATATAAAGAAAGAAACTCAAAATCAGTTTATTTTTTTCAGCTTTCATACAAAGTTGAATTTTTGTGCCTGTCCTTCTTAGAGAGTCCACGGCGGGGGATCCACTCCACGACAGAGCCGACAGACGTGGCTCCAAACAGAGACGTGACACCTGCTACATCTCTTAGGGATGCACAGGTGGCGATTACACCGACAGTTACCAGCTGTTGAGACGCCTGTAAGCTCATGTAGCTGTAAAATCCTCAGTCGGCCGCTTGAACGAGTCTCTACATCCCACTGTTTGATAGCTAGACAGCAAACAAATATAGCAGTCGGGTTATAGCCCCCACCTTTCACGAAAGGCGGCGGGGATGGGGGGTCATGCGTGCAAGCTGTTCGAAGGCAGACGACCGGGTGAAAAAAAGAGAAAGCGAGATAGAGAAAAAGAACATGACCGAAAAAAGGAAGTTTGCAGACCGTCGAGCTGCAGCCGTGGGTCAGCTGCACTGGTTGATTGTTACATCATCAGTCTAGAAATCCCACTTTAACATTTTGATCCCAGAAAAAGGGATCGCGGGATCTCTTCAGTGGCTTGGTTCAGTCTGTGACATCCATTTTTGAAAAGCTTTTGTTAGTCTCTGACAGTCAGTGGGGTCGTTGGATGCTGTTGATGCCGTGTTACCTCCTCCCTATCTCACTCTGCCGTAGGAACTGGATGTTGTTCGCGCTGTCGGCTAGCTCGGGGTACTGCTCTATAGACAGTACGTAGTATCCGTCGTAGCCCAAAACCTTCCCGCTGCTCAGCAGCTGCCTCTTTTCTCCCTCCGTCCATAGCCGTACTCCTTCTTCTCCGTCTCTCACTCGCTGTTGTTCGCGCGCCCAGGCGCTCGACAGCGCCCTCTGCCTCGCTTGTTCCAGGATTCGCGCTTTCTCCTCATCCAGCGTCGTCCCGTAACGCACGTGAAGCGTCAGGGCGCCGTACTGGAGCTCCACATCAGCAAAACGCCGCGTTCTCCCGTTCATGACTGTCGTGGACTGGGATACTGTGACGTTTACTCCGTTTTCTAGTGACTTCCTCCCCGAGGTGAGCCGCAGTGCGCTGAGGTCGTTCTCAGGCAGGCTGGTCTTGATGAAGTAGTGCGTGTCTCTTCCCTCCACTGTGAAATGCAAGCCCTCGAGGTAAAAGGCGTTATTTAGGACAGCAGCCACCTTGATGCAGTCCTCGTTGGCGATGTTTAGAGCGCTGGTCACAACGCGCCCTTGGATCACGGCGAGCATCACTCCCTTTCCTATCAGAGACTTGACAGTGGCAAACCACAGCCAAGGCTTGTTGTGGTCTGAATGTTGCCGACTGAGCTGGATTTCTGGCATGCGCTCAAACGACAGAAAGGCCTGAGACTGACGGGTCACTTCCTGCTGGACGCCGGAGATAGACTGTGGAGAAAAAGCAGAAAAGGCGTCTGAAAATATGACTCGAGATTATTGTCTGCTGATCTAGCTGTGTGGACTCAATCGATCATTCCCAGAGTTGCTGCTCCAAGTCGTTCAATTCAATTTGATTTATGTAGCGTGAAATCACTACAACGCTTTATATGATCAAGTAAAAACCCGACAATAATAAAGAGAAGTAGAGAGAAGTCGTGTTTCGGGTCATAGAGAGCAAACACTTGGTGATGGTGGGAAGGAAAAACTCCCTTTTAACAGGAAGAAAGCTCGACTGAGGCTGAGGGAGGAAGACAGCATGAAGTCTCTGCTGCTTCTTTCCTCTTTTCCTCTTTCAGTTTCTCTCTTGAAACGGCCACTTCTATTTCTGTCGTTGCCGAGTTAACGTCAGTGTCTCTATGTCGGCGCCTTTTCCTCACTCTCAGTGTGTGAGTGATTACTGATGACCCGACAACGCGTGCACAGATATCCTCCTTTACTGATGTGTCTCACTAATAACTTCCTATTAATTTGTTCCTCGTTTCTTCTCGTTCTGTTATCTTCTGTTCCTTGTCAACGTCATGTTTGCATGACTATATATAAATGAGTAACTATTAAGGTGTCTCGTATGTGGCCATCAGCAACAGTGACAAGAGCACCGAACAAACCACCCCAGACGTGGTTGATGCAGTTACATCATTTATTCCATTTACAAATATCATTCACTGGACCGACTGGATTAGCCACCGACTCGCTGATGGCACGATTCTAAACCCGTCGTCAGTGCTGGCCACTGAGCTACAATACGAGCTCCAGATCCCCGAGGAGCTGGATTACGCTTGTTAGAGTTTCTTTCTTGTGCTGAAAAGTCAAAGAAAGATGTTTAAGAAGTACGTCCAGGCCAGGTTACGTCACTGGAGAAAACATGAGGACCTGATATGTACGACTGATGACGCCCATTCGATTTATTCAATTTAATAAATTTTTTTCTAACACTGTTTGTTAAGATCAAGACAATAAAATGACTTGTTTAGTTTTAAGAAAAAATGATGGTTTGTATTACAAGCAAAAATGAATTTTGCACAAATGTAACCACTGTTGCTTTGACACACTGTGACTGGGCTGTGACTGATCGGTGTGGTGTTCCTCCATAGTTTATCTGAGTATACGTACGGGCAGGTCATCCCACAGCTGGCTCTTCTTCATCTCCAGTGATGGCTGTATCAGGTCAAACTTCGGAATAGGGAATCCTGGGATTGCATTATGGAGATGAAAGCCAAATGTGACCAACCAGATGTTGATATCTGCAGAGAAAGAGAAGAGTGGAAACAGTGATATTTATAAAAGACACCGAGAAACAGAAACAACAAAGCAAAGCAATCATTCTGTATCAGAGGGACTATTTTTATGCCTTCAGATAAACTGACAAACCTCTGTTGGTGTTTAAAACATATCGATTCTATTTGATTTTACTCATATGGGCCTCAAGGTAGAGGTGGGCAGTATGAACGGTAGAAACAATATGAATTTTTACTATACCGCTCTACCACGAGCACATGTTGATGGTGTCATGCAAGCAAGGAGCTTATAAAGAAGAGCGGTGTGGCGTTGGTCATGTGGACCTGGTTTGGGTTTAAGCAGTCGGATGTTGAGCAGAAAAATATCATCTGACAGTAATGGTGAAGAGAGGGAATACAAGTTGTGTTTTATCACTTCAAAGCCCGTGTTGGAGCAAAGCTGAAAACTGCACCTTCCACAAACGCCCGGTCAGTCCAGTGGAAAGAAACACGGCGGCCCGACACAGCAGATATTTGACTTTATCACTGTATTCAAAAATGTTGGCGCATTTATCTTCATTTTTATTTGTTATTCAAGAATTTTCTGTAACATTGTTTGGAAAAAGATCTGTTACATCGTAACAATTATTTGAAAAGTTTTATAATTTAGAATAAAAAAAAAAGTTTTGCACAATAAATGTTCTTAAAATAGCATTTTTATACTGTTCAGTCATTTTGAGACACACACACACACACACACACATCTATATCTATATCTATATATACACAGAAAAATATATCGTAATATATCCTGTCACTACACATGCTTCAGATTACACCGCAGTATGGATTTTAGGCCATGTCGCCCGGCCCTACCTCAAGGCATTTAATATCATAAGGCGAGGACCCTACAATAATCCAGAGGAAACAATCAGGTGACCCCTATGAGCGATCACTTTGGTGACTGTGAGAAGGAAAAACTCTCTTTGCACAGGAAGAAACCTCTGACACACTCATGGTGGGGCAGACCGACGGGGGTGAGGGGGGGGAGACGAGACAAAAGACATGCTGTGATTAATGCAGAGAGGTGAATGAACACATGATGAAATAGGGTGAATTAAGAAAAAAGCATCATGGGAAGCCCCCCCCCGTCTCATCTACTGCAGCATAACTAAGCGAGGATTCAGGGTCACCTGGTCCAGCTGCTTCCACAGAGGAGAAACTATTGTACTTTTAAATATCTGAGGAACGTCTGCTTCTGTGTCTTAACTATTACATCATTTGACTTTCTTCATTTAACTGAGGAGTGCTTTATAAATAAACTTGACTTATTATTTATCTGATGAAATGAAAATGATTTGTCGAGTAGTGTAGCAGGAATTATCCCACGGGTTATGTGACCTTAAAGCAACAGATAATACACACATGGACTGAAAACGTAGAAACAAAGCGGCTCTGCTCCTTTACCTGTCACATAT